AACATGTATAAACTGATATTGAAGTTTATAAACTAATAAAACAGTATTTTCACAAAATTGCATATTCTATGCAATGTTTTCAAAAACACAATAGTAAATATGAAATATATGATTTCATATTATAAACATGAAAGTCCAAAACCATACATGTATATATATAACTATATGTATACATAGAAAACAAAACTTATGTATGTATATATATAAAACTATATATATATAGAAACCAAAACTTGTGTATATATATATAACTATATATATACAAAGAAACCAATAAATGTGTGTGTATAGATAATTGAGCTTAACGTACTTAACACACATAATATAAATCCTAAACTAAATTACCTAAGCTTGATCGTGATCTTCAATGAGCTCAACTTGGTACACGTGCGGATGAAGCTTGAACTTGATCTTTAACTTGAATTGTACGTTACTTCACTCCAACATTCCGCCAACCTCCTTTGGATATGATCATTGAAGCTCTATTCCATCCATCCTCCAACTACGTTGTTTATCTATAAAACATAGGAATGCACAAACACTAGACAAACAACATTAGTAATAAATTGTTTGTTAAACATCAAAACACTAGACAAACAACATTAGTAATAAATTGTTTGTTAAACATCATCAAAACAAGAAGGCCAACAGTGACCACTACCCCTAGGTGTAACAACTAAAATCCCTTCTACAATAGTAATAGGTTCTTTATAGCCATTTTCAACACACTGCCAAACATCATAATTGGTGGACATCAAAAAGACTTTTATACACACTTTTCAATAGATGTAGTTTGTGCCATCAAAAAGTGGAGGACGACTTATAGCATGTCCCTCTAGAAAAGCCATTGTGATGGTAGGACTAGATATCTCTATCCTAGGTTTTGAATTCTAAAGATAGGTAACAAAACTAAGCAAGCTTAGAGGGGGACGTGAATACCTTTGCCATAGATTTTCACTAAAACGTAGAATATGCAGCGAAAATAATAATAAAATAAAAATAAAAATTCAAACCAGAGAACACGCAAGATTTTTATAGTGGTTCGGATAGAAATTCTACGTCCACTCTTCCTTCTCACGAATAACCTTCATCACTATGATTAGAGTTTACCTGAATCACAATCAAATCTAGTAGGCTTATAAAGACTGCACCGTGAAATCTACACGAAGCCAGTCGTCTAACGTAACTCCTCATAAATGAGTAAAATACTTAGCCCTAACTAGTCCCAACAACCAATTATCACAGGCTTGAGTATGCCGTAAAAATAGAATAAGGATCAAACTAATCAAGCTGTCTAAGCTTAGATTAAAAACTTGTACAGCCCTTTTAAGCAAACCGTTCTTTAGAAGATATAGCAAAGGTTTAGATTAAATTAATAAATCCGCTAATCTGCATCATCACCATTGACGGTAAAGCATAACCATCGATGATCCCCTATTTACCATCGATAGTCACCCTATAGTTCGTCGATGGTTTGAAATCTAGTTTCTGGACTTGATCAAATGTTCACTGTAGTCTATCGATGATATAGCTAACCATCAATGGGCTGTTGTAGTCCATTGATGGTGCTAAATCCTATTTTTATTTTTCTCTAATTATGCATTGTAATCCATCGATTGACTAATGACTATCGTTGGTTGCCTCATGACCATCGATGATGTGAAGGCTGAAATCAATATTCATGTTAATTTTGTATCGTTTCACCTCTATTTTTTTTGTATACTTGTTTATACCTGAAATATATCATCTCAAACAATCATAAGTAACAAATGAGAGTTTGTTATTACTCAAATAAAATATATTGTTTGAACAACATTCTAACAGATTTATCATAGTCGTTTCTCATTTCTTTTGATCTCTAACTTCTACTGCATTTAGGATATCTCTTTCCTGATTGATTAAAGTTCTATATATGATTGAAAGAGATAGAGAGATGAGAGAGTTCTAGCGTTTTGATTACAACTTTAGTTTTGATTCGAGAAGATATTTGATTGAAGGTTTTGATCCCCGGAACTTTAACAAACTCTTTGTCGTCACGCTCAACATCATTAGATCGTCACAACAAGGAGAATTACCCTTGATGTCATCGTCTATATTGTTCTTCATCAAGCTTCACTTTGATCTATTGAAGAACGGTTTGTTAATCAGAAAGGGCTATAAGATCTTTTTTATTTTATGTGCTTAAAATGTATTTGTTGGTTTGTTTTTAAATTCGTTTTTATGCTATATTTAAACTAGTGTTAATTGAAGGTTGAGATTAGCTAGAACTAGGTGAATTTACTTATTATGGACTCGTTAGGTTAGACGACTGATTTTCGATAGATATCAACGTGTGAACTTTGTAAGCCTATTGAATCGGGTTGTGATTTAGAAAAACTCTTGACATAATGAGGATATTCCTTCATTCAATCCAACATTAGGCAAATGATCATTATTTTTATAATTCGAATAATCTAATATTTCATAGGTATTTAAATTTAACAGGTAGTGTCATGTTTAAAGTCGTGTAATCAGTTTAAATGATTTAGATTAACCAAATGTTGATCACGTCATAGAAGATTATACTTGCGCGTCCACATTTTTAAATAAGTGAAAAAATGGATTAGGTACAGCCGGCCGTTTGATATTTATTGGCCATCGATTACGTCATGAGATCTAAATCAGGAACGAAAAACCATATATATAATAAAATATGGTGAACATAATGTTGGGGTCAACTTGGTTTCCATAAACAAGTAAGGTTATCTTCATAATATACAGATGACAGAGAACTGGAGGGTAAGCTGAGGATGATGGCTTAGACTTTGGATTTATTAACTCCGGTGTACCAAGCATTTGGTTCCATTGGTTATTTCGTCCTATGTTCTGCCATTGACCTGGTGGAAAGCCAGGGTATCTTTCATGTACATATGACAGAGAACCAGGGGCAACTGGAGTTTGGATTTTTCCTGGTGATCGATCTAATAATAAATAAATAAGAAAAACCAAAACTCATAGAGGAAGTTAACTGCATAAAAGCTCAGGTGATGTGCAACAGAATAAGTAAGCATTAAAATGAAATACCATCTACTTCTAACAAATGAAAATGTGTACTGCATTCCTATGAAGCAATTTTTTATTTATTTTCTCAAATAAATTAAAATTTGTTTAGTATATAATGTTGTGCACATCGGAAATTTTGGCAGCACCTCGGCAGCACCTCGGCGCAATAAAAGAGTAAGATCACAATAGGAATTCCCGTTTCACCAATAAAACAAGAACCAAAAGCAAAATATCTCAACAAAGTGGGATATCAGCTCTTCCTCTCATCAGTTCTAGGACTGACCTGTCGAGGGAACCTAAATAAGCTATTATAAATCACACAAACAGCGAGACAAACGAATTTTACGTGGTTCGGCAATTTGCCTACGCCCACGGGGCAAGGAGGGGGGAGATATACTATTAGAGAGAGAGAATACAAATATGGTTTACAATCACACAAATTAAACCCTCAAACAAGCTCTCAAATCCCTCACAAAATTCTCTACCAATGGATGCTCAAAACCCTAAAAAGAGGACTGCTCAAACTCTAAAAGGACGGTCGACGTTCTCCCCTTCCTTCTGCGTTTTTCTCCCACACGCCGCCGTTTTTTTCTCCTTCAAATACTCCATTACACTTGCACAAAGCCCTAGGAACTCACGAAAAGGTATTTATAGGTTGCTACCCTAGACTTGGGTGGGCCGCACGAGATTGGCCATGAGACATCGCTTCATGAACGTGGTGGCCCCCCACGTCTTTACCCCACGCACTTTGCTGCTCCGTGTTCACAATTGCTCGTGGCCCCCACCCGTAATTGTTGTTGTCACACGTTCATAATTCTCCACCTCGGCGAAGTTTTTCCAAAACTGAGCCGACACCAAAGCAACCAAATGTCCCACTTGTTGTGTCCAGTACGTCGTGAAGTTAATTCACGACAACGGACTCAATCCACAACAAGTCGGGAACCCGAACGAGAGTTCAAAAAATCTTCCCCCCATCAAAATTAACTAATCCAACCAGCTGCATCGAAAAGACTGCCTATGTATCCTCTTGCCCAAGGAATCAAGCCGAACGTAGTTCACTCAAATGGCCGCTAACGGCCTCAACAATCACGAATGTGTAATAAGTCTTTACAATGATCAAACTTGTTGCTCGGACCCACCTTTGTGAGCATATCCGCCGGATTATCCTTCGTGTGGACCTTCACATTCTCCACATCACAATCTTAAAGAACATCACGAACGAAGTGATATCGAACGTCAATGTGTTTCATCCTCGTATGAAAAACCTGACTCTTCGCCAAATAGATAGCACACAAGCTATCATAATAAATAGTGATGAACAGTTGCGATATACCAAGTTCCTCTAAAAGTCCTTGAAGCCAAATCATCTCCTTCACAGCCTCCGTAATCGCCATATACCCTGCCTCCATCGTAGACAAAGCCACCGTAGACTATAAGGTGTATCTCCAACATACCGACGCACGGGTCAAAGTGAACACATACCCTGTCATAGACCGACACTTATCCAAATTCCCGGCATAATCTGAATTAACATAACCAATACACAACTGCCCACCTATAGTGTCCCGCTCATAAACCAAACCAACATTGAGTGTACCTCGAATGTACCTCAAAATCCATCTCACGGTATCCCAATGACCCACTCCTTGATCGTTCATGTATCTCGAAACCATGCTCACCGCCTGTCATAAATCTGGTCTCGTACATACCATCACGCACATCAAGCTCCCAATCGCGCTTGCATATGGAGTCTTCAACATCAACTCTCGATCTTCAACTGTCTTCGGTGAAAGATCAGCTGAAAGCTTCGAATTGGCTCCTAATGGTACACTAACTAGCTTCGTATCCATGCTAACATGAAATCGCTGTAGAACCTTCTTCAAATAAGCTACCTGTGTCAAACAAATTCTGCCCTTCTTCTTGTCTCTGCTGATCTCCATCCTTAAAATGCGCTTCACCTCACCCAAATCTTTTATCTCAAACTCCTTTGAAAGTTGTGCCTTCAACTCATCTATAGCATATCTGAAAAATAGAGGTAACCAACATGTCATCGACATAAAGTAACAAATAGATGTACGCACCTCCTTTCAACTTGCGAAAATATACGCAAGGATCAAACTGGCTCCGAGTGTACGAATGACCAATCATAAAACCATCAATCACCTATACCACTGTCGAGGAGACTGCTTCAAACTGTATTATGATTTCTTCGATCTGCAAACCAATTTTTCCTTCCCTACAGCTCGAAATCCCAATGGTTGAGTCATATATATTTCTTCATCAAGATCACCATGAAGAAATATCATCTTTACATCTAACTGATCTAACTCCAAACTATATTGTGCCACCAAAGCTAGTAAAATCCGAATCGAAGAGTGCTTCACCACCGAAGAGAAAACCTCATTATAGTCAATACCTTCCTCCTGTGCATAGCCCTTCGCAACCAACCTAGATTTGAAACTCAATGGAGTGCCCTCAATGCCCTCCTTCTTTTTGTATACTCACTTGCAACTAATTACCTTCTTCCCTTTGGAAGCTCAACAAGCACCCATGTATCATTCTTGTGAACAAACTCCATCTTCTCCTGCATAGCTACCTGCCACGAATCAGCCTCCGAACTCTACTCGGTCTCTCTGAATGTAGTAGATATCATCTCATCGATACTCTCCACCAGAAGTGCATACGTAACTGTGTCGGTATACCGTGCTGGCATCCGTATGTCTCTCCTTTGTCTCCGAACCGCAATAGAATCCTGAACCTGAGTCGTCGGTCCCTGATCCTACACATCAGTACCCGTATCCTCCGTGTCACCATCGTGCTCACCTAGCATCACCTCAGTCGGCACTCTAATGGATACTGTACCATCTGGACACTATGGAGCTGCATCGATCTCCACCACCTGCGATATCTCCTCTGTTGGGTCGCTCTCCACCTGATGAGAGCTGGGAAGCTTTAAGGTAGAAGTCTCATCGAATGTGACGTCCCTACTCAGCACAATCTTTCTATCAACTGGATCCCATAGCTTGTATCCCTTGACACCACACTTGAATCCTACAAATATGGTCTTCCTAGCTCGAGGTTCCAATTTATGTGTTCTCACATGATAAAATGCAGGGCATCCGAATACATTGAGCTGGTCACAGTCGTGTGTTGGCTCTCCCGACCACTTCTCCATAAGGGTTTTCCTCTCAATCGTAGATGAAGGCAGACTGTTAATGAGGTGGCTCACATATGAAAGTGTCTCAGCTCAAAAGATCTTCTCCAAACCACTATGCGCCAACAAACATCGTCTTGACATAGCTACTGAAAGGGCTCTGATGTGTATTCACCACCGTTGTCGGATCATAACGTCTTGATCTTTCTCCCAATCTGTAGTTTCAATCTCTTTTTCCACTCCATAAATAAATCTAGGACTTTATTCTTATGCTTCATGGTATACACCCAACAACGCCTAGAATAATCATCTACGAACATGATGAACCAATGTCATCCACCAAGTGATGCAATCTTGGTGGGACCCCAAACGTCTGTGTGCACGTAGTCTAGGATGCCCCTCGTCCTATGAATGGCTATCTCGGACTTCACCTTTATCTTTTTGTTAAGAATACAATGCTCACAGAACTCAATCTTCCCACTCTTAGCTCCCTTCAACAGTCCTTGCTTCCAAAGCGCCTACAGTGACTTCTCACCTATGTGCCCCAATTTGTAATGCCAAAGTCTACTCATGTCCACCTCTGAAATAGCTGAACTTACCTGGCCAATCTCGGTGCTTTCCTTCAGATAATATAAGTTTTGATTGAGAACTTCCTTCATCACTGTTCGCGAGGAAAATCGTAGGTTTCTTTGTTATTGATTCCATTGTCATCTTGAGTTACAACTTTTTGAGTTACAAAAGATCCGGTCTTTTTATAAGATCCGGTTACAACGAAAATCAAAGAAAAATAAACAAAGATTACAACTTTTCTCCTTTTGTGTCGAACGAATCGCGAGCTCCTGTTTTGCGGTCACTCGCTTTGTGGGTTCTTTGCCTGCGCCGGGGTTGTTTCCCGTGGACCACCGCGCGATCTAGATCCGGTCGGATCTACGCAGTACAACGGGTATTATTTCACCAAGGAAATAATAGCCGGGGAGGATTGTTTCACCAAGGAAACAATCGTCCAAGTCTCGGGATCTAAGACCAAGCTTAGATCCGGAGTGTAGCAACGTAGATCTGAGATCCGGTCCTCTCGAACTCCTGCCTTATTTGGCGTTGATGATCGTCGAGCACCAGATCTGGATGTGCAAGTCCTCGAAGTCCCAAAGCTTGAATCTTGTTAAGTTCTGAGTCTCCAATCCAGCAGGGCTTCGCCTCTCCAAAATTTCCAACCCCTGAAATGAACCAAGGCCTAGCCTATTTATAGGCACTCAGATCTGTGCCTAGGCACAGATCTGGGCCGGCCACCTCGAGGTGGACCGACTCGGTCGAGGCCACCGTGTTGGTGGCTCGCCACCTGACAACCTAAGAGGTGTGTCGTCCGGCCACTTGGTGTCGGCCACCGCGCGACCTCTGTGGCTCGGTGGTGGCCGAGCGCACCGTTGGTGCCCGCCGAGGTCCACCAAGGAGTGGTGGGCCTCCAGTGCCATCCGATATATGGTGGCTCGAGGTGGCCGGCCACCTAGAGGTGGCGTCGGCCCTCGGCCACCATTTTGGTGGCTCGGAAGGTGCGCGAGCCACCCCCAAGGGTGGCTCGCCATCCGAGCCGTCATTAGGGTGGCTCGGCCGACCCACCACTTGTGGCTCGCCGACCAAGCCACCTTGGTGCTCGTGAGCCGCCTTCAGTGACTTGGGTTTCCGGAGCCTCTTTATTCGCGTGTCGTCTTCCGGTTCGTTTCCGCTCTTGGTGTCTATCTGTGATTCTGTTCGTGCTGGTTGATTTATCCAGACTTGATTCGTTGACCGATTTGGCAGTAAATCCGGATCCCGATTAGGCAGTAAATCCGCTTCTGAGTTGGAGTCCGAAACCGATCTTGATTCGATCGTCATTCGTCCGAGTATGCCTTTGGTTGGATGACTCGTTGACTCTTCGAACACTTGGCTTGATCCCGCACGCGAATGGACGTATTCCATTGCTTGCGTGCGATTCGTCGCATCGCGTCGCACCGTTTGGTTTGTCGGTTCGTGCCGAGCTGAGCTGAGGGACCTATAAGCAATTTTATATGCCTACAATCACCACCAAAGATCCCTTAGTAACATTTGCTACAGCGTCTTCAAAGGTCACCTTGAATCCTTCTGCCTCCAAAGCTCCAATAGAAATAAGATTCTTCTTCAGCTGAGGAACAAATCTCAACTCTTTCAATTCATGGACTACTCCATCGTGCATCTGAATCCTCACGGTACCTATCCCACAAATACCACAGGATTGATCATTTCTCATGACAACAACACCCCCATCGAGTCTCTCAAATAATGTAAACCAATCTCGCCTTGGAGTCACATGATAAGTAGCACCAGAATCAAGCATCCAATCCGATGCATCCAAATAGTTCACTTCTGGAGTAATCAATAGAGAAAAGCTCGAATTATCAGAATCATCGCCTTTCGTAACATTCACCTCATTGGCCTTCGGGCCCTTCTTCTTGCTATTCTCCTTATCCTTGATCTTTGGACAGTCTCTCTTCCAATATTCCTGCTCCTTGCAGAATGCACATTGATTCTTTACTAACTTGTGATGATCTCTTGATTTTGACCTTTCTCTATTATCATCTCTCGGATATGGGCTTCTACCTCTCGATCGACAAGGCCTCGCCTGAAGTACTAGCACAAGAAGTCTCCTTGTCTTTCCTCCTCAAATCATAATTCATCAACGTATTAGTAACTTCACTATAGCTGATAGAAGATCTCCCGTTCAACAAAGTGAGCACAAAGGTGTCATACTCCTCATCCGATAAGGAGCCCGATTAGATAATAGCCTTGTACTCATCCGAAATCTTCTCATCAACATTCGCCAAGTCCGACAACAACTTCGTATAGTTGTTCACATAAGCCACAAGCGAGGTGCCTCTGGACATCTGAAATCTGAATAACCTACATAGCAAGTGCAACCGGTTCTCAACACTCTTCATAAGGTACTTATTGTTAAGAATTTCCCACATCTTCATTGCAGACGTCACTCCAATCACATTATACTTCAGCTCCTATTCCAAACAGGACATGATCACCCCACAAGCGTTCCTATTCATCTTTTCCCATATCGCCTCTTCATATTTTGGTGGTCTCTCATATGATCACCCCACAAGCGTTCCTATTCATCTTTTCCCATATCGCCTCTTCATATTTTGGTGGTCTCTCATGGACCATGATGGTTCATCTTTTCCCATATCGCCTCTTCATATTTTGGTGGTCTCTCATGGACCATGATGGTCTCCTCCAAGTTTTGAGTATTGAGCGCATCCTGTATATCGCCCATTCATAAATCAAAGTTGATTTTATCATCATACTTCACCATACTAATTCTGGTGTTCTGAAAATCAACTTGAACTGTACTTGCCATCGTCTTGCTACTTTCACCTTCTTCTCCCATTGCAAACTAACTCCAAGTTGTAGAGAAAGAATCAAAATTTGATAAAAATTAAGAATTACCCAACTGAACCCTAGATCAGATTCTAAATAGATCTGCTTTCCACACGAGGAAAGCGAAATCTCCAACGACAACTCCTAATGCTATCTCCGCTGAAGCCTAGAACTCCAAGAACCAAGCTTCACACAAGAATCTTCCTCCACTTAATTCTAAAATCTTAGATCTAAAATCTGGGCTCTGATACCACTTGTTGTGCACAACGAAAGTTTTGGCAGCATATCGGCAGCACCTCGGGGCAACAAGAGAGTAAGATCACAATACGAATTCCCGTTTCACCAAGGAAACAAGAACCAAAAGCAAAATATCTCAACAAAGTAGGATATCAGCTCTTCCTCTCATCAGTTCTAGGACTGACCTATCGAGGGAACCTAAATAAGCTATTATAAATCACACAAACAGCGAAACAAATGAATTTTACATGGTTCAGCAAATTACCTACATCCACAGGGCAAGGAGGGGGGTCTACTATTTGAGAGAGAGAATACAAATAGGGTTTACACTTACACAAATTAAACTCTCAAACAAGCTCTCAAATCCCTCATAAAATTCTCCACCAATGGATGCTCAAAACCCTAAAAAAGGACTACTCAAACTCTAAAAGGATGGCCGACTTTCTCCCCTTCCTTCTGCGTTTTTCTCCCGCACGCCACCCTTTTTTTCTCCTTCAAATATTCCCTTGCACTTGCACAAAGCCCTAGGAACTCAAGAAAAGGTATTTATAGGTTGCTGCCCTAAAACTTGGGTGGGCCGCACGAGATTGGCAACGAGACTCCGCTTCATGAACATGGTGGCCCCCACGTCTTTGCCCCCACGCACTTTGCTGCTCCGCGTTCACAATTGCTCGTGGCCCCCACCCATAATTGCTGCTGCCCCACGTTCACATATAACTTTATATTGGCTACCACAAAGATAGAACAATAAAAGAAAAATCCCTTAATGCTAGGTAACATGGGAATGGAAGCAAGAGAAAACA